GCACAGATTAGAGAGAAAATTAGGAAGTTTCTAGAAACTAACAAGAAGGAGAATACAGTGTACCAAAACCAATGGAACACAGTTATCAGAGGAAGTTTGACAGCGATTAATGCATATTGAAAAAGAAAGGGAGACATATGACTGGTACGCTATCACAAAACCTCTGGCAACTAGAACAGAGTCAACAGAACAACCCTTCCAATAGCAAAAGAAAAGAAATAATAAAAATCAGGGCAGAGTTAAATGAGTGGGAAAACAAATGAACAATGCAAAAATAAAATGATCTTTTAATGAAATAAAAAAAGAGAAAATAACAAGAGAACCTACAGACTGGGCGAGGATTTTTAGCATTGACACAACAGAAAAGGGGCTAATTACTATAATCTACTTGCTTGCATAAAGAAGAAAAAGTTAACCCCATGAAAAAGTGGGCAAAAGATCTGAACAAAAGTTTCACTAGGGAGTAAACACAAATAGCCAATAAACATGCGAAAATGCTCCCGATCATTAGCCATCAGAGAAATGCAAATGAAACAACTATTAGATAATACCCTTGAGGATAGCCCAAATCAGAAAATCAGAGAGCAACAAATGTTGGAGGGGATATGGCGAGATAGGAACCCTCCTTCACTGCTGGTGGTCATGTAGATACATCAAGCCGCTGTGGCATGCCATCTGGTGATATTTAAAGCAAATGGAAATTGTGTTACCTTACAACCCAGCAAGCCCTCTTCCGGGCATATACCCAGGACAGGTAAGAAACAAACCAAGACCAGTGGTCTGCATTCCAATATTTGTTGTGGCACAATTCACAATCATAAAGAATTGGAAACAACCTAAATTTTCATTGACAGACGAGAGGATTAGAAAACTCTGGCACACCACCAAGCCCTGAGGACAATATTCCTGCTCAGAGCAGTCAATGCACAGAGAGGAACATAAGACTGGCCCCCTATGCAACATGACGACGTCCCTTATTGATGCATATAGCACTATGAGTGACAACAATGGAGGCAGAGTGCGGGAATTGTGTCTGATCTGACCCCACCACACTGGGGCAAATACTAAGGGCATGCAACAGAGCACCAAGGGGAACAAAGCAATGAAGTCCCTGGGGAATACCAAAAATAG